ATATATATATTATCTTCTTCTTTTCTAAATAAAAATAATTATGATGCAATGATAAGGTTGTTAATTAAAGCTAGATTTGTGTATTACACGTATTAAATTGAGTTTACTTATCGATCCCCTTTAACGTGAATTGCAATATGAGTTATGTATAGACGTCCATCGATAAAGACTTCATTTACAACGAACCGCAAGACTGATGGAAACCTAATCAGGACAAATAACACAAGTCTGCGCCAGATTGCCGTGAATCACAGACACGCCCCCATTTGCCTTCGATTATTCCGCACAGTTTTCAGTCGTCAGTGTTTCTGTACCGCGTGCTCAGCTTCTTTTTTTTCTCTAATTCATTTAGTATATTGTTTAACTCATTAAAAATGACAAGAAATATGTGAATTTACTTTATCTCGTAGTGTAAATAAAAATTAATATATTATAAAGTAATGTAAATTTCTCTCCCGTCACACGTATTGACTTATTTGCAACAAACCTGCACCGACTGACAACTCGCGAAATTATGCTCGGTTCTTTCGTGTTCCTTTGCAAAATTGTGCTGTGTGTTATCCTGATATCAGGATACTCCGCCGCTATTGAGAAACACTGGCTTCCGGATCTCGAATGGCAAACCGCGAGTAATTGGGCAGACGGTCTTGTTCCAGAAATTGACAACCATATAATTTTTCCTCTACTGACTCGACACGCAGTGGGTATCGCCGGCGATCTTAGATTATCCGAGATCGATTTGCCCGGGCAAGGATCTCTGGTTCTGCCTAGAAACGGTAAATTGCAGGTGAGGTCTGTGCTCTATAATAAAAAAAATATTTAGAAATCGAATCGTACAACAGAGAGAGATGAAGTAACAGAGAAGGGATAATGACAAATACAAACGCATATTTCCGCAAGTTTGTCGCACGTTTGCAAATGAAAACTATTCATATGCTATTAACTATTTATGAGATGTTACATCGCGATAGTTGTTTTTCGATTAAAATCTCACAATAATTGCGGCATTAATACTTAACTGTAGTCATTCGCTCTCGTTTATTTATTTATCAATAAAATATTTGTCAATATAAACGTCATAAAGTGCTGAACTTTGTGGAACTCGACAACAGAATGAAATTCTCTTGAAAATTTAATAATGTTTTCTACACATGCGCGCGCATCTAAGTGTTTTTACAAAAAATAAATAATTTTTGCTTTGTCTCCGTGCAACAAGCTGAGCAATTCGAGAGCAGATGCGAAAATCAGCAAGTGGTCAAAGGAGGGCAATTTCTTCTGGGCCGATCCGGCTAATTGGAACGGCAGTTCGATCGCGGTGCCGCATCTCGAGAGCGTTCCCTGTCGTCGCGATGACGTTGTTCTGCCGGCAGCGAATCGCACTTTGAGTATCCTATTGCCTGTAAGGGAGATCGAAGTGAAGTCGATTCGACTGGCGAACGAGCAGCCGTTCGTCGACTGGGAATGGGAAAGTTTTCAGGATCGCAGAGAATTTTCTCGCGGCAGATTCACCGTAAAGTGAGTCTGACATCGACGACGTTTCCGCCATTTCTTCACATTTGTACGTACTAGATTATTTTTTTCAGATATGCTTCGCTACATCTGGCTCTGTTCGACTGTCCGGTGTGTTTCTGTCAGGGAGATTCTCAGAGCGACTACCTCGAGGAGATCTGCGCCATTCAGAGACCTAGATGCGGTTTCACAGGTTGCGAGTATCCTCTTACGGTCGGTTGCTGTACTTAGTAATTGATTTGATAATCGATGCGATTTTTCTCTCTGTACTTGATCTACTGAAGTAATTCTTCGCAATCCAGGTCGAGGGTCACTGTTGCCCGTACTGCGGAGGACGCGTTTCTACTTCAGAAACTATTTCCTTAGCGATAGTACAAGCCGCAGCGGACGAAGCTTTGGAAGGATATTCGGATAAAATTGGCTGGCATGCCAGACGTTCTTGGAACGGCGACGTCGAGGTACTCGTAAAGGAAAAAGGAAGCTATTCCGGGATCACGATAGAGGAAGCGGTGGAGACCCTGCGGGAGATGTTGCAAAGTTAGCGCGCGCACTATTTCAATATAAATTAGTGCCAATTTTTTATCACATCTTGAAGCATGTGGATTTAAATAGAATCTACATGATTCAAGGAATTTGCTTGTGAGATATGCGACAATTGAAATCGGCTTGAAGTTTTTTAATATAACTCAGAAAGCAATTTTTATTGCAAAAGTAATTTCTCTTGCAGTTTGCAGCGCCGCGTATGAAGCGGCGGATAAACTTATAAATAAATAACGATCAAATTCTCCGTCCTTTTCTCGGTGTTCATCGTCCATGTGCACCGCCCATATACGTGCGACGATATCCTTCTTTTAATTCGAGCTTTATAATTGAAATGCACAAATCAATTATCACCGATCGGATAATATCCCGCGTGTCTGAAATTGATTACAAAAACAACAACAAAAAAATATGTAATCTATTTTGTGAAATCCAATAACATTTGTTTACGAAAATTTTTTCTCAGCTATTTCAGAGAAAGCAAATTTTTATTTTGATTTAATCAAACATGACAAGTATAAACAATTAATGACAAATATAATATTACGTTGTATAATAAAACAAACTGTTCTAGTTTTTTTTAAATATTTTTTATTAGAGAGCGGAATTAAAGTGAGCGTGGCGGAGACCGCGGGTGCAGCTCTGAAAGATTCCCGATTGGCTGTCGCACTTGGACCACTTCTTGTGACGCCTCTCGTTGTGATTGTTCTTCTTTCGCTGGCCTTCCTTTACTTCGGTTATTCCTTGGAAAGGTAAGTATCATTATCGTGTTATCTATTAATTTTCACGCCAATCTGCCATTACAAAAATATCGATTTAACAGAATAGATCGGAAGTCGCGTTCCAAGTTACTCTCTTCATGTAAAAATATTGAATATATATTGAAAAAACGTTGTGTGTATATTACCACACACATTACATTAAGAGCGCGAATGACTTCGAGTGTGAAAATCGCGCGCGAAATTCGGCACTCTCGGCACTCTCGCATTTAATAAAATATCACGCTGATAGCAAGTTCAGTATTCGGCAAGCGTATATCGACAATAGCCATGTCGATTGATCGAATTTCAAGCAAAATTACGGATCGCGAGAAAGGAAGAAACAAGAATTTGTTTTCTTGAGAACGTTTTGTACCGATACTGTCGTTAAAATGAATAAAATAAAAAATAAAAAAAAAAAAAAAAACAGAAAACTTTTCCTGACTGTTTGCGAGGCTGTTATGTTCGCGCGTGGCACATATGGCCTATTCTCGACATTCGTGCAAACACTTATCGACGTGCGGCTGCGCGATAGCAATAATAATAACCGCGCGACGGGAAAACGTGACGAGAAAAATGAAAAAGGAAAATAAAAAAGTTTTGCGAGCGCGCACAGCTGGGAGAGCAAATGATAGATACAGCGACGGCGATGACACGACGATCGCGCGCAGAGAAAACAGACGGAAAATTCCGGGCGTCCGAAGTATTCCTAACGCAATATCGATTTTGCGCGTTCACAAATAGAGTCGAAAAAAAAAGGCAATTATACCGATTACCGGCTCGCTTTACCCTATATATACACGTAAAACGTGTTTATTTCCTCGTTTCGTGTCTGCGCTCATTTCCGACTATATGCGAGCCGGTGGAGAGGGCGCGATATTGGCTCTCCTCACGATAGATACCTCGTATTTTCAGCGCGTTATACTTTTCTCAAAACAGTTTTGCGTAGCTTCATGCCGAGATAAATCGTTTCGAGACTCAACTGTAAAAACTATGAATTTTCCGCCACGTAAATCTTAGAGAATGCGAGAACAACGCCGTCTGGATTTAACGGTCTTTAAATTGAACGAAAATGAAAACGTTCGTTTGCGAACTGCTCTAAAGAAGCAAACCGAGAAAAGACGACGAACGACGAGACGAGATTGGTTGCAACTTCATCAGGTCGGTCGCAAATTCGCAACTGACGAAACTCTGAGTCACGATTATTAAATCCGTCGGGAAAATGGAAAACGTCAAACTTGTCGGGATTCTCATTTCCCAAACATCCACTCAATACGACGAGGGAATGAAGAACAGAGAAAAAGAAAAAGAAAGAGTGAAAACGGAAAAGGGGATGTAGTCGAAACAGGAGTCAGCGAGAAACAGAGTGTATTTTAATCTGCGACAGAGTCATGTCAGCTTAGGAACCTGCGAACTTGCTCCCGTTTACAAATGTTTCGCGTTTCCCGACGCTAATTTCTTCGCCCGCGCCGTTCCGCGCGCCTCCCACACTTAAAATCAGATAGTCGTCCTTGCGAGAAGATCCTTCTCTTTCTCTCTTTCGTTCGTCTAGCATTTAATTAATTCCAACTTCCGAGGCAGCTCGACTGGTTGGTTTATTATTGCTCTCAGTTTCAAACTGAATGGAATTGGTTGAGACTGCTGTGTAATTTTCTCGGTCTGCCGAACGTCTCGTTTGAAACTTCTCCTTTGAGAGGAACGCTCTCATTTCTCTCATTCAACATATTATGATCCGATTATCTATGTATCTAATAGAAATATCTAATAGACATGCTCAAATTTATGCGAAAAATCTATTTTAAAAAATGCTGAAAATAATTGCACCACTTTACGTTAGAATTTTAATAAACTGCATAGTTAATATAGTTTATCTAATAAAATTACTTGTTCTCTTTTCTTCTTTCCCTTTTTGTTGCAAGATTTACCGAAATATTGCGCGTATCTTAGACATACGAGAGGGATTTCGAACGGCGCATAATATCTCGTGCGTATCTATCGATCCGACCGACAGGAATGTAATTTTTGCAGTGTTCTCTCGGGATGTATGGAAGCCGTCTCATCCGTACGAGATGGAATTCGAACAGACAAGCAAAAGCACGGTTTTGCCCGTTTCGAGAATGTTCCCGAAGGCAATGTTCAAATTGCTGACGTTCCCGGAACGAGCGAGCGAGAGGTCGTTAACGTCGAGGGGATAACGCAGCTCGCGAGTGGCAGATTTGAAAATCCCTTATACCGGTCCAAGAGAAACAAGACGGAGGAAGAAGGTAAGATTCTTGACATTGACGCTCCCCTCAGTCTTACCACTCTCAAAGGCAGAATAGATCAACTGGATCAAGCGGAAAACGAAGAAATGGAGTCCGAAGAGTAAAACATTGGTCTTTGGTTAATGAAATTTTCTTAAACACATAAAAGTTTGTATAAAAAACAAAAACAAGACACGCACACGTAAATGTTTTCCAACAACTTATTTAACAAGAAGAAAAATAAAGAATGTTCGTTTTTTCCTTCGTAAAAAAGACAACACAATTGTTTGCAGTGGATATGTAACTTATATAATGTTATAGTATGTGTAATTAAATCATTAAAGCGTACAATTTTAGCTCACAAGTGTTTATTTCTTATTGTCGAATAACAACTATTCGAAATCGCAGCGTCGCATGTTATACCGATCACATGGGGCTGCGGTTTCTCATCGCTTATATATATATATATAGACACACTATACGCACACGTAAAATTTGAAGAGATAGAATATATATATATATATATATATATTTATATTTATATATGTATACTCTCTCTTATATATAAATATATACATAAATATTTACATACGCATGTATATATTTATATATTTATATTTATATCTTTGTTAATATATACTATATATAGAGACTCTGGATAAATATAGACGCCAAGTACACGATAGATAGACTCATGTAGTGTAACTCTTGTTGCGTACGCAAAATAAATGAGAATCGTAATAGCGATAATGTAAATAAGTATATATATAGATCGCAACAATATCAACGGTGCGATTTCTTTCGTCGAACATCTATATCGTTCGTAATTTGTTGTAAAATATATCTATCCATCTATATGTGTATATATATAAAGCTTCTTTATTCATATATAATATATTAAATTTTCTTTCTCTCTGTTTTTTTTTTTTTTTTTTTTTTGCGGTAAAAATCGTTCTCTGTGCTGCTCTTTGTACAGATATATAATTTCTTCTTTCTTATCGTACGCGAACAACACACGTACGTGTTCGCGTGCGCACGCGGCAATTAAAACCGAGTAATGTATGAGAAAAAAAATGCCGATCCAGTGCTTGTAAAGTTTTGAAATCAGAGAATGCGCTTTTGCGCACTCGCGTTAACTTCTAAATCGATTACTATCACTTGGAACGTTTGTATATTGACTTCTTCATTGACTTCCGATCACGCAGATTTATCTCCGAGAAATTTTCTACAGTTATTCTGAAAAAAAAAAAAAAAACTAAATTCTCCCATGTTGTAAAAATTGTTATAAAAATATCGTACGCGCGCATATGTCTACGGCATGAAATGTAAAAGACGGAAATTAGCAAAATACAGATCGCTATCTTTGATGAGTTCGAAGTCGATGTTGAAAATTCTGGCAGGAGTGTTTCTCATGCCTGCATCTACGGTAATGGAAATAATTCATAGTTTTATCACATATTCTGGATCTCTCGAAAGTACAAATAGGTGAGAACGCTTTAAGAGGCCAATCTTTGTGCATTTCGCACTGACGAGATGATTATGTACGACAAAAAATCACACATCGGCTGCGAAGTTATCACGCGATTCGTTTTGTATAGAGACCCATGCGAGGTATGAACATTATTGTTAATACAAGCACCTTCCGGACACACTCATCACGAGATTAAATTCTATCTATTTATTTGGCAATTACGTGAAGTGAAAGGGAAAAAAATAGGAGAAGAAGATAAAAGCCTTCTTATCTTGCGCGTTGGTCCCTTTCCATGACTTTCATGCGATAAGTAATCGCGAAATCCGCATTCTGGATCTCGATAATATATTATATATATATATACGCGCGCGCGTTCAATGAGTTTAAACTTACTCTACATATATAATTGCAAAACACAAAAACTAAGAAACAATTTAAAGTTTCAAGTTGATTGTGTGTGTGTGTGTATGACATCAATGATAAATCGGACGTACTTTCTACGACACTATAATATTAATTAATTAGAGCTTGTGAACGCGAAAAATTTCTTAAAACATAAATAATACAGCTTCATGGATGTGAATGATCACGAGACTGATGTTGTACACGATCGTAATTCTAACTACGACAAAAATCCGGTCGTTATTAGCTTGACAGATTTTTCTGTCGACTATGCGAGTGCAACACAAATTGTTGCAAATAGGTTCATTGTGAAGATGAGCGAAAAACGCATTTCCTCTATAAACAAAAACTTATATGTTTTAAAATCGTATCTATATCGTATATAAACGCAAAATAGATCATCGTCACCGCGCATGAGCGGTAACTGAGTCGATTATGATCCAACTACGTCCGCCTAACGGTAATATTCTGAAAAAATAACGTGCGTCAACTTGACATAGGTAATTTCTCTGAATCGATCTATCTGCGTATGTATATATGTGTGTGTATGTGAGTGACACAATTCTATAACGTACAACTAAATATCTTCTCGTCGAAAAAACATGCGTGCAACTACTTTGCGAGTCTACTTTCACATTTCTGCGTAGGTAATTATAACAACAATGATAATAATAATAATAATAATAATAATAATAATAATGGTGTGCTTTCACTATCCTTCTCCTCTTATATCTATAAATGTCATATATTATATTTCATATATATATATACATATATATATATATGCGCGTTTGCGAATTGAAATTTAATTCAAATCCATTCGACAAACCTCCGTTAAAGCAAACTATAATATATACTTGTTGTACCTAAACCCTATTGTGGACTTCTCGAAGAAGCGAACTTCTTCGAGTCTCTCTTTCTCGAAAATGATTTAAAAAACGTTAGTACGTTTCATCTTCGAGGCGAACAATCTCTCTTGCCCGCGCACAAACATTGGTTCCGTGCTTGTCTGTAAAATTAGAACGTTGTAAAATCACGAAAAATATAAATTATCTCTATCTTGTCTCTTGATTCGCAACATTCTGGAGAAATACGAAAATAAATTTGTGAGAAAAGGCACTGTTTAGCAAAATATATATTGACAGATATGCACACACGTGTAGTACTACAGCCAGTGTGGTGTTACAGCTCTCTGGTGTTAAAACTCTCTCGATTGTTGCCAGAAAAACAATTCTGTTTACACTTTTCAAGCGATTTGCGGCACGTTCTTATCAAGAATCAATTTTTTCAGTCGTCACTGTGTCAGAAGCTTCATCGCTTGTATACAAGGAAGACGTTCTAGGAATGTAAAGAAATTGCACTAGTCCCTACAAAATATATATCTTTCTTTTAATTCTGATCTGTGACTTAGCAATAAGAACACGTTATCTCTATCCCTATGCGATTCATTCTCAAAATCCTTCTTATCTCGCGAAAAAATTATAAAAACAAAAGTTCGCACATTTCTGGAAGAACAACTCGACAGAAAGAAATACGATTTTTATAGTGTCTGTGTAAACGACTCAGCGAGTCTAAAGTCTCCTTTGAGATTTTATGACATTACAATCAAAATGTAGATGATAATGACGCAAATTACAAGTTCTTCTTCTTCAAAAAAACTATTATGAGAACTAATAAGTCTCTAAGAACTAATTCTCATAAAATCGTTTTTTTATTTAAAAACGACGAAATTTAAGACTGTTGTAGTTGTAGTAAAGCCTGGAGACGTTGCAACTCCTTTAGCAACTCGCGATTCGTGTCCTCCAGGGAATTAAGCTTGTCTCTGTATACGGCGTTTTCGTTCGTCAGCGTAGTGACTCGCCTTTCCAGGCCGTCCATATATTCCTTCTTTTTTCTTCGTGATTCCTGTGCCGATATCTGTAAAATTTACACGATGCGAAAATATGTGCAAGAATACCTTTCACCATTTTATATAGAGCGGACGATATTTCGGAATTGAAAAAGTTTGAAAAATATATATCGAAAAGTCTGTTCTACCTTGTTCTTGATTTTTCTTCGTACTTTCTTCAGTGATTTTTCCTCCTGTTTTGTCAGAGGGAGTTTCGTAGGCACGGGGTAGCCTTCGGCTATCAAAGTCCTTTTTTCTTCTTCTGTCAATGTTAACACTCCTGTCGATCCTTTCTGTATCAACAATCGTAGATAAGTGCATCGCGCTAACATAAACACGGCGACAAAACAATTATTATTCCGCAGATAGAACGACGGGAATGAAATCTTCGTAATATGTGTAAAACCCATCTATTTCGAAATTGTTTACACAAACACGACAACCTCGCTGATATTACGGTATACGATTATGTACTATGTTAATATGTTATACAAATATATGTATTACAAATCAAATGTATTATGAAACAAATCTGTTTTTCTTCCAGATCAGACAAAAAGTTCTTGAAAATATTTACGCGTCACTTGAATAAAAAGAATTAAATGCATTGAGCAACAAACAAGCTTTGACGGAAAATACAGTGTGCAGTGACTTAAAAACAATTACGTTACAATTAGGTTTTGCAAGTCATTGATTTTCTTTTCACGCCTGAGTTTCCTCCGTGTTTCCCGTTTTACCGAGCGATTTATTTTTACTTCGCGTGGGCCGCGTGGTGCTAATTCGCTCGAATGATTATCCTTCGAATGAAGTCAGCAACGTCGAACTCGTCGTTTCTTACCGGTTGACAGGAAATCAAGGGCGTGTGGATGGGCTGTCTGGTGGTGTGGGTGGTGTTGGTGACGTAAAGCCTTGGCGCCAGCAAGCCCCTGAGATTCTGCGTGGAAGTCTGAGAATCTCGACGTTCCGGCGAGCAAGAGGCGGAAGCGGTGCCCTCGCTGTCGGAGCTCGCGCTGCTGGGTGGTGTCGGCGGCAATCCTTGTCTCGAAGCGCGCAAAATCGTCTCCTTCCTCTCGCAAACCACGTATTCGTCAATTTCCATGTTCTGAAAATAAGCGACGCGGTGACGATAATGACGACGACGACGAACTCGTAAAATCGTTGCTCGTCTAAATAACAACGCGCAGCAAAACTTTATCTTTTTGCATCGAATAATCAAATTTGACGCACATATAAGTGTTATTTTTTTGTATGCTGCAAAAATTCTAGTACGTGATGTTTGGGTTCAAACCGCGTTTGTATCATTTTTATACGCGAGACGTCAGTATAAAAATCACACAAACGCGGATCCAACCCAAAAAACCACGCACAAGTATTTTGTATTTATTTCCAACTCATGAAAAAATCTATGATCAACATTCACACAATCTCTTTCAGGAGCGTCTAAAAGTGTGAATGTATAATAATATGAGTAGATATGTATCGGTAACGCGCGACCTGTTAAATTACATTGTACGCGTCAGAACACTATTTTATCTTCCGAAAACAATCTGTGTGGCGCAATATCGATTCAAAGCCGTGATACCTGACAATACTCCTCATCCTCTTCCTCGCTGTCACTCATGGGCGAGAGTTGCGTTTTGGTGGTGAAATGAAGGCTCTGCGGTGACAACATTGTTATCGTGCTCTTATCGTCGCAAATCGGTTGACAAGACGCGCAGGGGCTGGTTGGCGCGCTAATAGGCTCGTCCTTGATTTTGAGACACTCGTTATCTTCAGGTACCAGTTTGTCCCTTTTAAGGAATACGGTCGAAGTGGAGGACGATGTAAGCGACGAAGACTGACATGGCTCGACACGGCTCGACGAGGCGTTGCTTATCGAAATAGCCGGAAAATATTCGATATCTGAAATATTTCAGATACAGATTTTAGTGATCTGTTTCTAATTTCAGCTTATCTTTTAGCCCTAAAATGAATTTTTGAGAAACATTCTCGACAACAGTAAAGCTGTCAAGCAAGAAAAAAATACACTGTGAAATCTTCTTTCGCGTTATATAAGAAGAAGAGATAGCGCGTTGCGCAGAGATCATCTTACCATCGATTCGACTGCGGATGTCGAGAGACTTGTGGTCCAGATTGGCGAAATCGATGGAGGAACTGGTATTCGCTGTGGTGGAGTCAACCGCGTCGGAGGACGAGCCTGAATTTGGCGTGTGAGGATTCGCTCCGGGCGTTGCCGGGCTTGGCGGGGGGCTGCAGGCCAACAGGCTGTAACTGTGCTCGGATTTTATCGGTCGCGGTCCACCGATAGCCGCGTCCGTCATCAGACGATCCCTAAGAACCACGCTATCCCTCAAGCACAGAGGATTACCCCACTCATCGTCTTTGGTACTTAACAGCATATCCTGACCAAGTACCTGCTACAGATCGAAGATTTACGTTACAACGTGACAATATCTCTGTGAACGGAATTTTTAATTAAACAATAAATATTTAATGACACGACAAATATGTTGCGTCTTATATCTACAACAAAATACTTTGTTGACTTTTCTGAAGAGTTTCTCAGAATGAATTCCCGCAGTTCTAAAGAAAACAGATAAGATATTTCTCGACTGAGTGGTTGAACCTTTTTAGAAATCGTATCCTATAAAATGGTGCCTGTGCCCTCATATAAATGCAGAGAAGATAAACTCGCAGATAACATTCAAAGAGAGAAGAGACCTATGACCTGCGAGTAATTTATTTCAAACAGCACATTTCGAAAATATTTTACATTCAGAATCTTTGGAAAGAGTCTTTGGCGTCGCGCACGGCTGATCGAGCGTACGACGACGTGCCGGATAAAAATCAATCTCCATGTACGAGTGGTACGGTGAAATTTTACTGTGCAAGCGTATGTATCGTGCGCACGGCGTACGATGCGAGTCAATGAACACACAGGAGGGGCAGCGTCCGCGGTTGTCAATGGTTGCTGCCGTCTCGGGCGGCGAGGCGAGATGTCAAGGACCCCGATGCGCGATTCTAAAATTACACCGCGAGCGGTCACACGTTTAACGCGAAGGAGAAGGGCGCTCAAGTTGAGCGGTCAAGTTGAAGGTCGGCCGTTATACCCGAGTCTCCGAGAAGGTAGCGACGACTTCGCGCACCTCGGCATTCTTCAGGGATCCTCCCAGAGAGGACGATCCAGCAATGCGGAACTTGGTCCCAAGGTCAACATCGAGTCTCTCCGTTCTTCTGCGACGAATGTTGCTGCCAACTGACCGGCGACGTTTCTCGCTGCTGCCGCTTCGCAGTTGGTACACACGGACTTCCCCGTTACGCACGGTTTGCTCCGCATCAGCGAAGCGAAAAGCGAGGATACGACTTGAGCGATGACTCAAGTGACAACTTCGTCTGCTTCGCTCAATAAAATAGATAGACAGTAAATTGACTTAAGCAGTCTGAGCAGTGTGGTCGAACGAAAATTCTAAACAAAATGTGCATTTTTCCTCATTTTGATCGATTAAATTAAGAACCAATTGATTCCTATATTGGTTCTTGTAATAACAACGGATAAAGCTACACATTTCAATTCTAATTCACTCTCTGATTTATCATTTTATTTGTCTTTTCTCAAGTCCTCCTACTTTGCGCGCTTCTTTCTTCCACATTGCAATCTTTCTTATTTGGAATGTAGCAATTTTCTGCAAGTGGATAATTTAATTAGTTAGAACGATTATTTAGCTAACAACTCGGAACGCAATCTCAAACCTCTGTATGAATTCGATTTGTACTTTGGTATTTTCTTGTTTATTTCCTGTCTTACAAATCTTTTTTCAACATGTGTATTTTTATTACATACGTCGCAAGTTTTAATTCTTTGCGTACATCAGTAAAAAATTTGCAAGCGATTGGAATAATTCAGTTATGTTTTTTCAACAAAAACTATTCACATATGCTAGACTCATTTCTGATCTTAGAAATAGCTCCGCGAGAATCTGGCAGCTGTGGTAATGCGGAACTCGATTTGCAAGGTCACGACACCACTCTTCCTTTCCCTTTATTTTTCTCCAGAGTTCTCTTCTTGATCCTTTTGCCTTTTACTCCGTTATATTCTCCGGTCGCGCGTGCCGACACTTATCTTCCATCCTTTTCTATCTCACTTCCGGCGGAAGCTCGTCTGTAATGGACAATCCTTTAGGTTGTTTTTTTTGGAGATAGTACAGAGAATACAAATGAACGCGCGTTCCCTTCGTTTTCTTTTTAAGTTTTAATATCTCAGTGAGTTTTGCACAGCAAAAACTATGATATTTTTAGCATTTTTAACGCGCAAGTTTATTGCGAGTTGCTGGCTTATCAAAACTTATCGACGCTTTCCACGTTACTGAACGGCAATTCCTCGCATTGCGATAATTCTCTTGAAAGAAAAATTGCTTTTAGCAATTTTTTTCCATCCTCGCGTAAACAAGTCGAAACAAATATAAAAATGCATATACAGAAGTATTTAGTATTTTTCTCTTTTTGTGTCAAAACCTGACGATAAAGTAATCGTTCACGACGTAACTTTGCTTTCTAAAGACAGAAATTCCAATCATTGAAGAATGTGATAGAATAGTCTACTACAGACTTCCAATCATTGAAGAATGTTATAGAGTTAGTCTACTACAGACGAATCTATCACATTCTTCAATGATTGAAATTTCTATTAAATATCTATTACAAAGATACTCAAGTGTCAACAAATTAAATGACAATAGAATGATTAATTTTTAATTCACGTTTTCTCTATCCATTACTAGAATATTCTCTCAATACGGTATGTGTTTCCGCTGGAAATTAATCTGAAGGGTACTTCTCTCTCTGTCTCTCTTCGTGTGTCCGTCCGAGGTGTAGGAATTCCGATTGAATTTGTCCGCCGCAAAATTGCAGCGTAGTGGTTAATGTTAACTAACTACTGCGCAACACGGGAAGTTCATCGAGAGCGGGAATCCGGGCTCAGCAATTTTCGCGACGAAGTTATTTCGTTGGCGCGGCATTATTTCTCTCCGATCGCTCGAACCCGGTGTCTTCGAGAAATCGCGAGACGCGCTTCTCGCGCAATCGCTCCGACGCGATCACTCATTTTCTCGAGTACGATTATTATCGCGTATCTCCTCTTCATTATTGCGCGCAATTGTAGTTACAGGCTATTAATATTGCAGGCAATTGAGAAGATAGGAGGCGTGCTCATTTCAGCAGCACTTTCTTGCGCTTTCTGCTTTCAAAGTTAAACAAATATATATTTTTAATGCGTTTTTTTTTTTTTTTTTTAAAGAAGCGAAAAGTAATAAGAGGTTTTTTCTCTTTATTTTTTATCGCAACATTTGATCGAACATTATAAAACAATTTTGATACACAGATATATGCTGAAAACAAGATATTATACACGTATACGAGATAATTGAGCGCAAGTTCTATTCGCTCTATCGAACAACATTTCTAGCGTACGGAGAAGTGTATATATTCTTGATAAAGGCGGTGGTGACCGCGAAGTTATGCCGGGTATTAACAGAACTGACCTTTCTACTTGTCGGTTCTACGCTAAACTCCGATGCACGGGTCGAAAAGCAATTGTGCGCCGATGCATTGAAGGTGCATACAAACGGAGTTGCATTCGTGGGTAATGCAGCGGAGAGAATTGCAGTGGCATGTTGGCGCGGTGATTTCAAAAGCTGCGATACATATGAATGAGAACGAAGATCGTAAAAGCACACGATGTGTGTATATACGTGACGCAAAATAAAAAAAAAAAAAAAATCTCAAAGCTGCTTACAGCCGCACACACGACTCGTAATTCGCACGTGCGTGTGTATGAGAGAGTTTTATATGTCGCGCAACACGCGCGGCGTGAATTTAATTATTTTTCTGAATTACGCGACGTCACTTACTTATTGCGTCGCGATTTTAAGGCTCTTTGCACTTAAAGCCCGTAACTCAAAAGTGTGTTGTGACGTTGCGTTAGGTGCGCAAACCATATTCGGAGTGACATTTTTACGCGATCATACGAGAGTTATAAAAGCGCGATAGAAACGACGAGAATTCATACCCACGATCCCGTTTAACATTCGACCAGAAACGACGCGTTATATCCTTGAGGTCATAAATTTTCAATAAAATACGATAACAGTCTCCGATAAATTAAAACGCTGATAAAAAAAAAAAAAAAAAAAAAAAACGTAAAGAAGTGCACGACCTGAATTTTTCTTCCACATATCCTGCGCAATTTAACGTGTTGCAACGCGTTACTGTATCGCGCTCGTAAAGCAAATCGATTCGTTTCGCGATCGTAAAAACTGTTTACGTCGAAAAAATTCTCAGGTAAAAATTCGTGCGAAGATCGTGCGACTTGAGGGTCACCGCTCGCACGACTCAAGATCTAATTACGCTAATACAAAGTATTCGAAACTCGTCCGCAGGTGTCAAATGTCTGACCGCACTTCTCTTGTGTTTTTTTTTCTACTTTGAACGCATTTTGACACGCTTGTCAGCGCGCATTACATTCGTTTTAACGACCCGATCCAATCGATCCCGAAGTTAATCTACGGAACCTACCCCACATCAAAAATATCAGAAATTTATCAAAGTTTTACAAGTAAAACTTTGTTAAACTTGTTGTTTTCAATCTTCGAAGATGGTATCTCTACTAATCGCTGATTTCGGAACACGAAGAAGCGCAGACACTTCCGATTGTAGACGAATAGGTCAATTGCTTTCAGGATCCCGGCTTGAGAAGAAGAAGGCACACTTCGACGGCGTCTACCGGCCTCGACGAAGTCACGAAAAAAGGTGAACGTCCTCGAAGGCCCGAACCATCCCGTCACTTCGTCTACTCCCCACCATGAAGTCGGCGACGGGCGCCGACGACGACGACGACGGCAGCAGCGACGACGACACATTTATACACACACATACGACAGGTCTCTCCTCTCCCTTGGCCGCGACACTCTCATACAACTTGTTTCAAAACCAGATTCTTTCTTAACAAGTATATAAACCGTCGCAGCCGTGAACCTTCTCAGGAAAGTCGAGAAACTCCGGAAACCTTATCGGGGACAATCAAAACGCTTCGGCGCGCCCGCGTGAAAACAGCGTTGGATTCAAGTAGCCAATCTGGTTAAGTTGTTAATTCGAAACGTTTATTTTGAAAATAAGCAACATACTACTCTGACGTATAGAAGCGACTTACGTCAGTCGGGTTACAACGACATCAAACGCGTCAAATAATATCCTCTCATTCGAGGAAACACATACCTATCTCGAGATTATACTCTACAAATATAAGGAAACGCAAACGACTCTCGAGTCAATTACAAGTTCAGGGAAATGATAGGTATAATTTCAACTCTAACTGACAAATATACAAGCAATTATCATTCTTTTCTGAGATTAATTAACACGC